ACGGGGCATAGGTTGGTCAAAATCTAATTCGAGTGAGTGTTTGTGTGCATTATTATAGGTGTATTAGGGTGTGTTATGGTCATATATCAGAGCTAATTTGATGAAGTGTGTACCAATCAACTTTAAGCCCGCATAACTTTACACATAGGCCAGACCTGGGTAATTCAAAGTTGGTTGAAAATTCATTACTGCAATGCGGTTTTTAAGTTTATGCCTTTACATCAGAATTGGACCGATGCCTCTCTGAATGTCTCTGTAAATGGGGACCAAGCATATTTATCTACACTGGTATAGTTACGGGTTCATGTTTTATTGATTCTAAGAAGTTTATACTGTACATTGGGCCGTATACATAAAAGGTAGCAACTGCTTGTAAGCATTGGTTCAACTTCAAGCATAAGATCAAGCATAAAAGCAATTGCCTAAAATCTGTATGAATAACCTTGCTTGTCCTCAAACTTAGCTTTTGCTTGCCTTCAGCATGAAATTGCTCTGTCTTTCAACAAAACACGTCACACCATTCTAGGGAGAACACAAGCGGTTTTCATTTATTCAAATGTCATTTGTTTGGTGGGAAGCTTTTTCCTGATATAGTAATTCATACTTAGTTGCTTACAATATTTTCATTTAAGCTCTATTAAAGATCCATTATAGAATGATACATCACGAACAAAATCATGACATGACATGACAAAATCATGATCTTGTAAAAATACTAAGTAGTCATAACAACGTAAAGCAAGTGAGAATTCATCTGAAAAATGAACAACTAATTACTTCTGATGCTGCTGGCAAATTGGTGAAATATCATTTTGAGTCACACAAAAGAAATACTAAAAGGAGTACAATTATTACTGTATTATTACGGTTGTTGTTAGACAATTCAAATTAGAATACATGTACGTACCAAAGAATTATAAAAGTTAGGTGCTATATTACTTTTGCACAGCTTTATCAGGTAGTTTACTTCAAAATGATATCATGATCTTGGAATTCACTATGAAAGATAAGCCATCATCGTTTCTAGAAAAATGCCAGTACTCACACTCAAATTCTTCTGTACAACTGCTTCTAGGTAAAAGCAAAATATTTAATTTATGACTACATTTTTAACAAATGCTTGAGCTTGCTAGCAAAAGCTTTTTCTTGCAATCAATTTATATGCATACAGATTCAAGTAACAGGCTCCCTCAAGCAATTGCCACTCTTTATTCATACGGCCCATAACTATACTTACCATGTAGTATAGGCCTACTAATCAAGGCTATCAACTTTTTATCAAGCCGTTATATTGGATTTTTCCTAGCCAATGATGACGTTAGATTATAGCAGTTTAACTTTATGTCAGCTGAATAAACCAGAGATTATAAGTAAACAAATATGAGTGATATGAGAGGCAAAAAATACAATAAAATTAAAAAAACATAAACAAATAAATAAATAAAATAAATGGATAAATAAAAAAGTAAGTGACCTGTATCTGCAGGTTTGATTTTCAGTATATTTATTCTCATTTTATATAGGTCATCATGGATTGGAGCATTTGTATAATCTGCAAGAAACATACACAGGAAAAAGTGAACTGTCCGCAAAAAGGATTAATGCACAATGCAGAAAAAGTTTATGCTTCATTCTTGGAAAATGTTGACGAGTTCCGGAAAATAAACTCATTACCGATTGATGTAGACTTTGGACCTGAGGGAACAGTTGAAGCATTTGTGAGAAACAACGCCTCATGGCATCGTTCTTGTCATCAAAAATTTAATAATAACAAACTCAAAAGAAAATTGGAGGGAAAAAGTAAAGATGAGAAAGAATGTATACCTAATGACTTACGACGGTCAAAGCGCCAGAAATCGGAATTTGAATACAAGAGTTTGTGTCTCTTCTGTGAACAAGCTGGAAATAAAACATTGCACAATTTCCAAACATTCGAAGCTGATCAGTCTCTCAAGAGAATGGCAAGTGACATGCAAGATGAAAAACTCATGTCAAAAATACGAGGAAGTGATATCATTGCTCTCGAAGCAAAGTATCACTTGGATTGTTTGACAAAATTTAGGAACAATTACAGGGGCCATCAGCGGAAATGTAGTTCTTCCAAGTCCAACAAGGAAACAGTGGAAGGAGAACGAGCACATGCTCAAGCATTTGATGAGCTAGTTTCTTATGTTGAGTTTGCAATACAAGATGGGCAGTACATCTTCAAACTATCTGATCTCCACGAGAAGTATGAACACCGTCTTCAAAGTCTTGGATATCATGTCTCGGTGAATAAGGGCCGATTAAAAACCAAGCTTGTGGATCACTTCTTTGAAACAGACGTACAGGAACAGTCAGATGGCAAGAATGTTGTTCTTGTATTCCCTGAAGGCATGCAACAACTGCTGAAGGATGCTCTCAAGGACAAGGATTACCAAGATGAAGCTTTCCTGTTTGCCAAAGTTGCAAAAATCTGCAGACAAGAAATGTTCGGGAAAACACACTTTATGTTTTTTGGCAGCTTCCCTACAAATTGTCAGAAAATGCTTCCAAGTCTTTCACTCCTATCATCAATGATCCTGTATGGACCAGATATGAAGAACAATGATGACGATGACGACTCACAAGTATGTCACACGATAGCCCAGATGTTCCTCCATAATTCCAAAAAGGTGTATGAAACCGACTCCACATAAACGGCAGTCACTGGACAGAGAGCCTCCACTTCCAATCTACATTGGCCTTAACATCCACACAATGACAAGGAACAAGCAACTTATCAATCAGCTAGCCAGGCTAGGTATAAGCATCTCCTACGACCGAGTTCTACAGCTTGAGAAGAAACTGTCAGTGGCAATGTGCAAACAATTCACAGCTGAACAAATCGTGTGCCCATCCATTCTCAGGAAAGGCCTCTTTTCTGTTGGGGCACTGGATAACCTGGACCACAACCCTTCGTCCACTACAGCTCAAGGGTCGTTCCATGGCAGTGGTATAAGTGTCATCCAATTTCCAACACACGACCATCACGGACGTAGGCGGATGTCACAGTGGTTCCTTCCTGCAAATCCAAATGAAAAACCTCAACTCCTTGATGCTTATAGCATAGTCGAATCAGTCCACCTCAAAGCCTCATCAACTACTGTTCCAAAGGCCACTATGACAGCTGTAGATGGAAAGCTTCAACAAGCAAGAGAAAAGGAAGGAAGATGGATTCAGCATGCCTCTCAACTCCTTGACAAAGATCCTCTTGAAAAAGGTGAACCGATCTCTTGGGCTGCATATCATGCATCTCAGCAATCACCTCCTCTTGATCCTCCTGCTGTGGTTGCACTTCTCCCTCTCTTCCAAGAGAAAGCAGATTCCCCTGCTATGATAAAGCATGCTATGAATGTCCTCAAGGCCATCACTAACTTCCTCAATCCAGGTCAAACCCCTGTGCTGGCGTGTGACTGCCCAATCTTTGCTAACTGCAAGCATATACAATGGACCTGGCCTACTACGCATGGTGAGGATAAATTTGTGATCATGTTTCGTGGCTTCCATTTGGAGAAAGCCTTGTGGACAGCACTTGGTGATTTCCTTGACCAAAGTGGATGGACGGTAGCTCTGAGTGATTTTTGATTGATTGATTGATTGATTGATTGAAAAGGTTTTATTGATTGCACTTCGCAGCCAGATGGCTGAATTATGAACAATTTACATTGGCAATGAATTATAATACATACAAATGTGGTTGACATTGTCACAAAGTATAATATACAGTATATAACAAAATTCATAACAAAGTTCATAACTAAGGTGTTGGTGTTCAGGTGTTGCATCATCGGGCACAGCCAACTCATTCATCAAGGCTGCTCATGTTACAAGGACCTGTCATGCTCATCAGGTAACTGCCCTAGCTCTTTCAATACTACAAGAACGTGCATATAAACAGGTTGCAGTCTCAAGTGAGGGTGATACATTTGAAGACTGGAGACAGGCTATGTCCAGTAAAAGCCCTACTTTTCAATATTGGGACTTGGTGCTGCGAACTGAGATTTTGATCCTGATATTCATTAGAGCTCATCTGTCCACCTGCGAGATATGCAGTCCTTACCAGCCACTGTGTCAGAGGAACTCCAGAAGTACTGGGTTGTGAGCAAAACACAAAAGAGATTTTCTGCACTTCCCATTGATCAAGTCCATGAACAGGAAAATGCCAAAGTCAAAGGAAAGGGTGGAGCCGTGGGCTTAACTGAAAATCCTGTTGCTTTCCAACGTTGGATGCTTGCAGGCCCTGAGCAAGCCAGGCTGCTGACAGAATTTGAAAGTGAATACTTACCTGAAGAAGATCCAGAGGAAAATTTCAGACATCATGAAGAGACACAATCAAACCAAGAATCTTTCAGAAATCAAACAGCAAAACTGATGAAGACAATCAACGAATATGGCAGCCCTTTCCTCGAGGATCACTCTGAATTATTGGTCTTGCACTCTCGGGAATGTGCTGATAAATCAGTGGTGGAGACAGTACAACATATCGAAGCACTGGGTTCTGATCAGTATCAAACATACAAGCGGGAAGTGCTCATTGAAAAAAGCAAAACTATCCATGCACCAATCAAGAAGAATTCTCTCCCACTTTTCAAGACACCAGTGAAGGCAAAAGGGAATCGTAAAACTGAGAAAATTGCATCTCTTCGGAATGATGTGAGCCTCTTTGGTCATATGTACATTGCAAACCAGCTGCGTGACGGTGACCCATCCGTATTCTTCAGCCACGAGAATCAGGCATACCCGCCATCTATCTCAAATAGTAGGAAACTGCGCTTGACATCCAGCAAGTCTAAATTACTAACATGTCTGAACACAAATGGACAAGGAGAGCCTCCGGCACAAGTGGACTGCAAGATTTTTGATGGTGCAGCTCTAGTTCATGGGTTACCAGCAACTTCCGTGTCAAGATTTGAGGACTATGCAAGAACAGTTTTCAAGCCCGTTCTCAACCGTGAATTGCAAGGAGTCGACGACTGGATTTGGTGTGGGACAGATACTTGGCCTGCAGTATCAAGGAATCTACTCGCCAGAAACGAGGAAGTGGAGTACGCACAAAGGTAGCATCCAAGACTAAAATGCCAGTCAAATGGAAAGACTTCCTCCAAGACAGCACCAACAAAGAAGAGCTGTTTGCATTCCTGACACAGACCGTGGCTGCAGGAGAGTGTCCCAAGGGCAAGGAGCTGTATGTAACGTCAGGTACTTTATTGTTCCTGTGCTTCTAATTCGGATTCATACTAATTTGTAATAATTATTTGACTGAAAAAACAGCAAAATTCAATATCATTTAGTGTAATTATAAGCAATAAATGTAGAAAAGCATACCTGCCAACCAGTAACATTTTATCAGATTTAGTAAGATTTTTCACCGCCCAAGTTGAAATTTTCTGATACAAAAATATGATTTTTTGAAAAATGTGTTACTGTATGATTTTACAAATTTGTGAGACAGTAAGATTTTTGCCTCCAGTATGCATTAAAAATAAGATTTTCTATCTAAATCAGTAAAAATTTTCATGTCAAGAGGTTGGCAGGTATAGAAAGGAGCTTATTGAGCTTGAGAGGTCAGTTTTGAAATAAATTATCTGTGACTTATATGGAAAGAACATTGTAAACATAAAAAGTTTTCCATCGTGACAATTTATCAATAGAACTTTACAAAATTATGAAACTTTTTTTCTTTCTCTTTAATATTTCAGGTACTTCAGTAATTACAAGAGGTGATTGCGAGCCCATGGAAGACTGCACTCATGAAGAGGCTGACACGCGAATCATAGTTCATCTTCAACATGCAGCGGAGAGAGGGTCAAAGAAGATTGTAATTCGAACAGTGGACACAGATATCATTGCTATTCTCGTCGGGCAGCTTCCATCATTGATCGTAGAATATCCTGACATTGACATTTGGGTAGCATTCGGTATGGGCAAGAACTTCTGCCACATAACATCAACAACATTTGTAGAAATCTCGGAGAAGACAAGTCACTAGCGCTGCCCCTGTTTCATGCCTACACTGGCTGTGATACTACGTCTTGCTTTCTTGCAAAAGGGAAGAAAAGTGCTTGGAGGGTCTGGAAATCTTATCCTGAAGTAACACAGGCATTCCTTCACTTTGTGGATCATCCATTCCGAGCAGTCGATGTTTCATGTGAACATTTCCGTCATCTTGAGCGATTTACAGTCCTGCTGTATGACATCACAAGCAATCTCCTCTCTGTGAATGAAGCACGCCGAGAGCTTTTCTGCAAGAAGAAAAGAAGCCTGGAGAATATACCCCCAACTCAGGTATTTCCATTTTTACCTTCTCAATCACTTTTCCTACTTCAAGAGATGGGACAGAATATTGAACGTAGCAAGAAATTCAATAAGAGAGATAGCTGACCAATAAGAGGGAAGGGAGGGGGTCATTACTTTATATCATTTTCTGCATTTTATAAATGTTATTGAACACTCCTTGCAAGAATATTGTGTTATACTGGAATCTGGCATGGGAAGATGCTCAGATGAGTATCCTTTGCTACTGATAACATACATGTATTTCCACCCACAGTATTTTATTTTTTTCTCCAAACAGTTGACTAACCTTTTGCCCCATGTGTTTTGTTTTTTTCCCACTATATTAGGATGCCTTGCTCCAGCATATCAAGAGAGTGCTATACCAAGGTGGTATCTGGACAACATGTCGCCAGGCACAACCTTCGGTTCCTCCCCCAGAAGGGTGGGGATGGACAATGGAAGATAATCACTGGGCACCCGTTTGGATGACCATCCCCGAGGCAGCTAAAGTCTGTAAGGAGCTCATCAAGTGTGGCTGCAAGTCAGAATCTGGTTGTGTTAGTCGCTGCAGGTGCACAAAAGCCGGGCTACCCTGCACAGAACTTTGCTCTTGCAACTGTCAGAAATAATTCCTTCATTTATCTCATTAGCAACAATGTATGGTTGCGCTTACCAGGTAGGCATTTCCCTCATTCAGAAGCTTGTAATGATGAAAACATTGGGAATACCATTCCTTTTATTTAGCCTACTGTTTACACAACTCTCCAGGTGCATGGTAAGCTATTAATTATTTATGAGATATATACTTTGTCTGGTCAGACATGTATTCCAAATCTTGCTAGTGTACATATGTGATCAGATGCAATAACATATATAACATGTAGTCCAAGTGGTACCATAATAGTAATGACCCATCAGTTCTGATGCCAAGAAGATTTAAAAACAGAGCAAACTAGAAATATCACTGAAGGTGATTAATACCCCTAATCCAGTATATCCAACTCATGTGATCATAAAGAATGTAACTTGGGTTAAAAATTATTTGTGTATATGTGTTGTGTGTGTGTGTGTGTAAAAAAAACCATAGTTCTTTTTGAGTTAAGTAATTCGCTCAACAAGATTTTTACAAAAAGTTTGTGGTTACCATGACAATGCTTTGTCCGGTGCAAACGCAAAGGGCATTTTGCACAACTACACATATAGATCATCGTACACACCAAATTTGATCATAATAGCTTAAATACTTCATGTTAATGCAAAAATATGTGTTTACCAGGACAACGCTTTATCCGAGTACAGTTTCCATGGAAATGCTTTGTCCGAAAAACAAAAAGAGTATGTCTTGCACATCTATACCCCAGTGCCGTCATGAACACTAAATGTGATTTCAATTGCTTCAATATTGTGGAAGTAGTTCGCTCAGCAAGAGTTTTGCAAAAATATCTGGTTACCATGGCAACGCTAGGTGGCGCACAATCACAAAGGGTGTTTTTTATAACCACACTCATAGATCGTTATAGATACCAAATTTGACATTAATTGCTTAAATTCTGTGGAAGTAATTTGCACTATAAGGTTTGGTAAAATTGTGGTTACCATGGCAACGCTTTGTCCGACAAACACAAAAAAACATGTCTCGCACATCTACCCCTCAATGTCATCACATACACCAAGTTTCATTTCTTTTTTGCTTCAAAACTATAGAAGTAGGACCACGGTTGCTTTATTTTTTGGGTTTTCCTGTGATTATGTAATGAATTAATGATGATGTCATAATGACGTCATTTCACCACCTTTCCAGCATCAATTTTCTTGGAGCATAGCCTTTTATAAGAAGGTACATCGTGAAGATAATTTGGTGAAAAAATCATGCTTTTGTCCACCGTGTCACGATTTTTTCACTAAGCTACCCCACTATAGGGGGTTTATCCTTTCTCGGGTTTATTTTCGAGAATAAAGTATGACATCAAAACAACCTGAACCACAATATTGAGTCTTCATTTATCTCACTATTTGTGTATGACTCTTATTTTCTCCTCAATCATCTGGTGAGTAAAGGGATCATCCCTGAAGTGATCATGAACGGAGGAAAAGTCATGAGTCTACGTACAAACGATCCAAAAATTGTAGCCAAAAATAGCCTGAACTTTTTTTGAGATGGGGCTGGCAAAATTACCTAAAACGTTTGGCATCGAAGGAATGAAAAAGGGTTTCTTCCCTCATCTGTTCAATGCAGAGGAAAATGAAAATTATGTAGGTCCCCTCCCAGACAAAACATACTACGGTACAAGTTCAATGATGAAAACGTCCTCCATGAATTCAATGAATGGTATACAACATGCCCAAAGACTATGTCTTTAATTTCCAACATGAAAGTTTGGATTATTGTCAGAGTGATGTTAAAATATTACTTGAGAGCTGTAAAATATTTAGGAAGCAGTTTAAAGACCTTGACCGGAGCAGAGCATTATATAGACAAATTATATACCTACGGACTCGTGAATATTTACTGAATATGAAAATGCAAACTTCTCGAGATTCCACGGCCTCTGAAAGAAGTATTTAGCATCCGAACCCCAGGATTCATGGATTTGAGAGGGGCACCCCGGAGATTTAGTTTCGGCTGCGCTAGCCGGTGGCCGTTTCTACCCGTTTCTGATGACGTCATAACGTGTAGGTTATTTGGCCACTCGGTATAGCAGCTGGTTCTTCGCATGGTGGTCGGTATGTGAAGTTTTCTTCTCTCTTTTTTTGTTGTTGTAAATATCAATGTCGAAGCTGTATTTGGACATTTTACGATTAGAATGTTGACATTTTATATCTGTATTAATTTCACGCTACGTAATATGGAATATCAACCCCAAATTTCCACTAAATTAGATTGAAACGAATCATTTGCCCGCGCTGCTGGCTGCCTGCCTCGGTCTGCGATTGCACAACTTTCAGCAATCTATCGCTGAGCCTCGCGAGAGCACTCGGGCCGCGGCCGGCCCGGCCTGACTTGCCGCGCCGTGTCATGCTGGTGGTCGTGGAATATTTCTCGAACAAAACTAAGTTTCGCTCGCTTTTATCGCACAGATAGCCTTTCCTTTTGCATGGTTTACCAGCATTAAATCAAAGAATTATTTAGATCTACATTGTTTTATCGTCTAGAATATAGTCTGTAAACAATGAAAAATAAGAAGAAGATGAAATGGAGATTTTGAAGAAGAATTGGGCCTAAAAAAAAAGAAAAAGAAAACTAGGTAGTTGGTAGAATCTAGGCCTTGGACTCGTGCCGCCCAGTGGCAGTGCACTGCAGTACAGTGAAGCCAGGAACTAAATTATTTTGAATTGATGTCAGAAATCACATGGGTGCCTCTTCTTCATACTTTCTTGTGATGAAAACACTGTTTTTATTCAAATCAAAATGGTCTAGATCTAGTGTTGTTGCCAGGGATGATTATTAAAACAAAATCATCGGTCATTTGTTGTTGACTTTGCTTCTTTTTTTTTATCCGACTACAGATTAACTTTGCTTTTTTTTCTTTCTATGAAACTAAGTTTAACTAACTTTTGTCTAACTTTAATAGCAATGTTAATGTTATAGATCATTTATTATTTTGCCATTTTATCTTGATCTTGCTTATTGTCTCTGCCACATCTCTCTTCTGAAAGTCTTATATGGTTAAATTTGACAGTTTTATTTTGTCAAGGCAGCTTTGAAAAGAAGATCTTACAATTAGAGATGAGTTTTTAAATCATTGCAATATTTCATTGCTAATTCTAAATGGGAAGACCACAAGTCTATTGCCAAAAATTTTAAATTTGTGTACAAGATCTATAAATCATGAGGTTATTTTTGTCAAAATTTCAAACATATTTTGTGAAAAATGAAACCTGAAAATGATAAATTTTGCATTACAAAACAAAAGTTGATATCGAATAAGGAATCACAGGATTCGCACTAATTGTTATCTTGCCCGACTTTTTAAGTCTAGATGTAAATGTACATGTAGATCTTTGACATATTTATATTCTTTTTAATCTTCTATCAATTGTAATATTGGTGTATTGTTTTCTTTTTATAGATTGCAGTTATCAGCATGTCAAAACGGAGTAACACAGATGAGGAAGGTGAGCCCAGCAAGAAGCCGAAGCCTGTTGGGGGAAACCGGTGCGTCTTGTATGGGTGCAGCAACACTATTCATGATGGCTTTGCCATACATGAACTACCGAAGGAAGGATCCATCAGGCGAGCATGGGTGAAGTTCATTCAACTGAAGTTAAAAGGGTTCGATGCCCGAGAAAGGGTCCATGTCCATGTCTGCAGTGGTCATTTTGAGCGAGACCAGTATGATTCGTCTCAATCTCTTTTTTAATTGGGAGTGTATATATCCTGGCTTCATGTCTGTTTGGACTTTAGCTGTTGTTTGACAGGAGTTATGTTTTGATTGATTGGATATGATCGATTGTAGTTTTTGTTTGATTGATTATGATTGATTGAATGGATTTGATCTATTGTAGCTTTTGTTATGATCAATAATATGATATTTCGGTTTTTGGACAAATATTTACTCTGTTTTGGGGAGAGTTTTTCGTTTGTTGACACCTCTTCCTTCTTTGAAAAGATGGCTACGTGCGCCCGCGAACCCTATTTATAAGGTTCCTTTCCTCATTTGAAATTCTTTTCTTTGAATTTCCTTTGTGTGATCTCACTGCCTAGCACCTGGAAAAGATCTAATCGCTCCTTTGTGGCGAGCCCAGCCATGGTATCCCATGATCCTTCAGTTACTTGTCGCCCCACCCCTTCTACTACCTCCGAACTCTCTCGTGGGACATTCAAACCCATTCCCAAACCTCAAGCTAACCGCCTGGATTATCTCAACAAAGGTTGGCGCTCAGCGGGCCTTTCGGAACACGCTTCCAGCCTCATCGCCCTCTCTTGGCGAGATGGAACCAACAAACAATATGAATCGGCTTGGCAACAGTGGCTTCGCTGGTGTGATTCACAATCGCTTGATCCCTTTGACTCGTGTATTGTAAACGTGATTAATTTTCTTAGTGCTCAACAGGGTTTAGGAAAATCCTACTCTACTATTAATTCTTATCGTTCTGGCCTTTCTTCTGTACTACCACCAATGGAAGGCTTTCCAGTTGGCAAGCATCCCATGGTAATAAGATTATTGAACTATATTTCCAGGTGCTAGGCAGTGAGATCACACAAAGGAAATTCAAAGAAAAGAATTTCAAATGAGGAAAGGAACCTTATAAATAGGGTTCGCGGGCGCACGTAGCCATCTTTTCAAAGAAGGAAGAGGTGTCAACAAACGAAAAACTCTCCCCAAAACAGAGTAAATATTTGTCCAAAAACCGAAATATCATATTATTGATCATAACAAAAGCTACAATAGATCAAATCCATTCAATCAATCATAATCAATCAAACAAAAACTACAATCGATCATATCCAATCAATCAAAACATAACTCCTGTCAAACAACAGCTAAAGTCCAAACAGACATGAAGCCAGGATATATACACTCCCAATTAAAAAAGAGAGAAGATTCTGTGATTTGAACAATAACAAAAATCCAGAAGGGAGGGAATCTTCAGCAAAAGATCTTGAAGGGAGGGACCCTCCTCGACTTGTACTTCATTATTATTAATAGAATTCTAATTATACTTCATGTTATTTGCATAATTTAGGAATTTTATTTGCTGGTGCGAGCCCAACAAAGGTTCTCAAAACTCACAAACACATGAACTTAAAATCAATTTCGACAACAACATTCAACGAACACCAGTCTAGATATCTTCAGCCAGCAATAGTGAAAGAATACAGGAGGACCCAGGCAGAGACATTTGACGAGATCAGAGCGAGTGAAGCGGGCCTCATCCTTGGAGGGGATGGGAGGAGTGACTCACCTGGGCATTCTGCCAAGTACGGCTCGTACACGATGATGGACCTGATGAGCAACAAGGTCATTGATGTCCAGCTTGTGCAAGTGAGTGATTTAGCAGAAATGTTTTAATGTATGTAGTGTAAAGGTTAAAACCACAGAGGTCATCATATGCCTGAAATTGGACATATTGTGTAGTAACTACGTACATAATAGAAAAGTTTTTGCCATGCATATTGTGATCATTACTCATTTAGGTTTCCTTTTTCTTCATTATAAGTTAAATTTTGCAGACGTAATTATATGGAATCCGCCTGTCACTAACTCCAGTGTGTTTTTTAACAGATCTGTTGCAACCATGAATGTATACTTCCTTTATTATACTGTATTACAGAGAACCTTGTACTTTTCTAAGGTTATTTACCATTATTTTATTCTTTTCCTTTATAGTGTACAGAGGTTAAGAACTCAAATGCAATGGAGCTAGAGGGACTCCGGAGGGGCCTGCGGATACTTGACGATGCTGGTGTGATTGTACAAGGCATAGTGACAGATCGTCACATGCAGATAGCGAAGTTTCTCCGTGAGACGTACCAACAAATTGATCACCGATATGATGTCTGGCACATTGCGAAAGGTAATTATTATATATATACTGAATTAATTCCAGCAAATGTATCTTATATACATGTAGGCTGAAATTGATATTGTAGTTATGACTACTTTTGCAGGTTTAAATTTGCCTATATTTCCACTTTTGTATATAGTAAGTATTGAATTATGATATATTTTCTTAATTTAGAACACTCCAAGTAGCTCCTTGATATGTCACATATTGAATTGTCAATTGATCTCTTTTAGCTAATTCTTGCTCCTTTTTTGTTTGTTTCTGCCTGTATATAATAGGGTTAAAGAAGAAGCTAAAAGCATTGGCCAAGATGAAGGACTGTGGATTGGTTCAAGATTGGTTGAGGGCCTTGGTAAACCATGTATACTGGACTGCCTCTTCTACTCCGGATGGAGATAAGGATGTCATGAAAGCCAAGTATAAGAGGGCTATGAACCACATCAGAAATCTTCACACAGATGAAAACCCAGAGTACACTGCTTGTGAACATGGTGATGACTATCCAGAGCGAGAATGGTTGCAGTCAGGTAAGCTACTTATGTATGATCTTTAAATAACAATTTACTTCAGTGGAAATAAAAGTTAACCCTTCACTGGTGCCTCAAGTTGTTCTTTTTGTTTGGATGTGGGTAAAATCCTTATTTATATGCATACGGTGTACATTTTTCACCCTCATTTACTTTGAAGATGTTTGTCAAAATGCGAGCAAAATATTTACATTTATTTTAATAATGTACATTCAAGTTTAATTTAGTTCAATTTTGATCATGACATTCATATTTTTTTTTTTGCAATTTTCTAAATGATTAATATTCATTGTGGAATGAAAAAATAGTTTTGGCGAAGGGATGAGATGCTTGGAAATGCCGAGATCATGATTGCTAACTATTTAAATGAACTCTCCTTCACCTTTACCGCATATATTATATTCCCAATCTTATTACAGGTACAAAGGTGTACGACAAGCTTCGAGAGGAATGGCTGAGGACCAGACTGGTGAACGATATTGGGATGATGTCCCCACATGCCCAAACCAGCAAGGTTGAATCATTCCACAACATCCTCCTTCACTTTTGCCCCAAGTTGCTTGTATACTCATATCAAGGGATGAAGTGCAGGTAAATTAGGCAATTAATTCATCAACATTATGCTCCCCTAATATAAATTTAACAAGAACGTCACAGAGGGCAGTGTTGTTTCTTCTTCTTCTTCTTTTGAATTTGATTTTATTGGTTTTATGTTTTAAAGTTATTATTTTCTTTTTGTTATAGCCAGGTTCTTTCTATTTCATATTTTGTTGGGTTTTTTTTTTTTTTTAATTTATTATTTGTAACACATGCTTTTTACACTAACTCTTGCCTTCACTTATTGGAGAGTAGGTAACGAGTTTATGATGATAGACATTACATTACCAAAAAGATAAAATCAACTGTCACAAGTATGTTATTCATGTGACCTTTATTTTTCACTTCACTCTTTTCAGATTATATTTGGCTGTCCTACATTGGAACGAAAATTGTGATAGAGCCCAGGCTGTTGATGCCGAAGGGAACCCAGTGTACAGGTTGAAGTATCCACGCTCGAAGGAAGGAGGCCACACAGTGGAGAGAGTGCTGACAGCTGGTACATGTGGTAAGTAGCCACATGCCTAGTGAATGATATCAATATTCAACAAAAGAGCTCAATTATATATAGAAATCTTTTATTACTTCATGATCAATAGAATTCAAATTAGTAGATTCTTGTGGCCTATATGCCCTTAATTTAATCTGTTGATTAAATTGATAATTATAAACATGTATTGGGTTACTTTCTGCAAATGTGTAATATTGAATAGCAAGCAGAAACAGGCATATATGTCAGTCCCCAAGTCAGTGAACTACCTATTCAGCAAAGAACATGTGCATGCCATTGGTATTTGATTGGTCATCCACCTACAAATAGTGTGTAAAATTAGGTAATTCAATATTTGTGAGAAAAAGAGTTTTCTCTTCTTATGTTCTTATTTTTCTCTTTTCCTTTTTTCCTCTTATCAAAGTGTATTTTTTTAACACCGTATAGATGAATTTTCAAGGTATAGTTTTGGATTTTATCTTGTAGGTTATGTGAAAGCCCTGATGAGAGTTGTCGTAGAACTGGTGGAAAACAGGGAGCAGCTCAGAGACAACATGGAGGAGCTACAGCCTCAACCAGCACGGAGTGCCTCTCATCATCACCCCGACAATGGAGAAGCCGTGCAAGCTTTTGAACAACATCATCGCTTTGGCGATAGAAACTAGTTCTTTTGGTGATAGAAACTATGATGAATGTGTCAGCTACCTGAACATTAACCACTGATTGTTTTATTTCAGTACAATACATGTTTTTCATAGACCCTAAATTATGTTTATGCCAGTATAATTATGGAGAGTAACATGGAAGTACTCTATGCAAGTGAGTAGTGGATTCCGATTCTATGTGAGTGTAAAGCACTAGAAACTTGTCTGTAAGCTTGTACATACTTACACAAGCCAAAGTCCATGGTACACATCAATAGTCAATGGTTTTAATAGGTAAAATACTTATTAAATTTGTAAAACTTACATTTTTAGTTCAATTAAAAACGATTTCTGAAGCATATGCACTAGATTTTCATAAACACTAAGTAAATCACTGTTGATCATGAATTTGGCACCAAATATAATCTGATTTTTCTCACAGTCCTTCATCTTGGCCAATGCTTTTTGCTTCTTATTTGCAAAAAATAAAAAATAAAAAAATGCATTTTTTTTTTTCTCATCTAAACTGTTCTTATTCAAGAACCATTTGATGTATTGCACCAGATATGACTTTATTTTTTGTTTTTGATTTTTTCCCTTTTCTGCCGAGGTGAATTGTGTTATTCATTTTCAAAGTTAGTAGTTTTAAAGATCATGCCATATTATCACAGAAGAGGAAACATTGTGATGATACTTCATCGCATCCATACTTTTTTTCCTAACAGCGGTTTCCTGTTTGTCCTAAAACCTGGTTATAAAAGATTGAAAAATAATCATCCTTGCAGATATAATAAAAATAGTCATCTATCCTGTAAACTTTACATAAAATAAGGATGAATGTAATGTACATGTTGCATCAAAGTTTTTGTTCCAATGGTGCATCATTTTGAAATATATTGCACAAACAGAGAAGAAAATGATTGGGGGGAAAAACCGTCAATGGGATGTTCTGAGAATATTTTGAGCAAAGGTAAACAAAAATTCATCTAAAGGAACACAAATCTTGTTTGTTTATTTCTATTATAGGTGTCTTGTAGGAAGCTTCATAATTTAAAGATGGAAATTGCTGTGAAAATGAGAGTGAGATAGAGAATGTGAAGGAAGAAGAGGGATAAAGATAGATACCAATAGGGATAGAGTGAGAGATGTGAATGTGATGGATGGAAGAGGAGAAAGAGAGATTGTGAAAGAGTGAGAGATGGGAATGTGATGGATGGAAGAGGAGAAAGAGAGATTGTGAAAGAGTGAGAGATGGGAATGTGGAGGGTGGAGGAGGAAAAGAGAGGCAGAGGGAGAGAGTGAGAGATGGGAATGTGGAGGAAGAGGAGAAGGAGGGACAGAGTGAGAGATGGGAATGTGGAGGGTGGAAGAGGAGAAGGAGGGACAGAGTGAGAGATAGGAATGTGGAGGAGGAGAAAGAGAGGAGGGACAGAGTGAGAGATGGAAATATGGAAGAGGAAACAGAGAGAGGAAGTGGGATAGACAGATGGGAATGTGGAGGGTGGAAGAGGAGAAAGAGAGAGGAAGAGGGACAGAGTGGGAGATAGGGTTAAGGTTTATCCTTTTTGGGAGGATAGATTTGATGCAAAATAAAGGATTTCCTGGATTTATTACGATGCTTACCATTTATCACACATTTGAAATTTCGTCAACCGCAATTCCCTTCTCTTACTCTCATTATTCCTCTGTCTATCTTTGTTGTGTCCATGCTGTTATTTCTCTTTCTCTCAATTTCGTTTTCTCTTTCAATTTCATTTTCTCTTTCTCTCCCCTTTTCTACTTTCTTTTTCCCTCTCACAATGTTTATTCCTCATTGTTTCCAAGTTCTTCCCAAAAATAATGATTATTATAAAAAAATAATAAATAAATATGAAGAGCTTGCATGCAAAAGCTGCTAAATCCACATTTACCAATCGTTGCTATGATTGGTTCATTTGTTCCAGCTTGGAACCTGTTGACCAATCAGGAGGCAGTACATATAAACAGCCATGTAAATAATCACTGTATACATTGTCACCTGCCTAGATTTGTCTGACTGGATAGTGTGTGTGTGACTGTGTGTGTGTGTGGGTGTGTGTAAATGCCTTCGATCGTGGACTTTCACCAGAATACACACCTTCAAACCGTGGACACACAGGAATCGTGGACGTCCACGATTAGAACGCCTATTATTTTCGTCATTTACGTGGCCCAATGAGGGCGCTCTCTTAATATCTGGAAAATTTGACGAAGTCCACGTTAGAGGTAATAAATAGTATCAGGAGTGTACGAATACACAGTTCGTGTGACAAAATTCTCCAGGAATCGTCGCGCATAAATGAATAACGCCCCCTTTCGGCAGTGAGTGACGTGTAGAGATCTAGATCGATATCGAGCGCCAAAACTCGTAAACCGTGCACGCGCAACCAAAATACCAACGTGATCGTGACAATGTAGCCGCACCAAGTACGGCGCGCAAGTTCGCAAGAGGTGTGATAAATCTTCAATTTCAGGTACGTTTCTAATCATTTTTCTTTTCAAATACAGGATATTCATCTAGCCCAACATTTTGGGCTTAACTTGTGTGCGTTTTGGAGCTGAGAGAATTCAGCTTCATTACAAATTCGATGTAAGTCGCACAATCCGTTTAATGTATTGCAACTGCAAGAACTTGAGACTGTCTGTCAGGGGCGGATGCGGCCGCGGTAGGCCTACATAAGTCATAAGTTAGACTTTGTATGCTGGCTGGAGTACTCCAAGGCCAGGGTACACACCTTTTTTCTTGTTGAATATAAAATGTTATAAAATATAATTTTAATCACAGTGCTTGGTAACACTAGATGCAGAAAATTCTTGAGATTACTTAAAAATAAAAGAGAAGAAGAAAAAAATCATGAAGAAAATTTCTTTAGAACAAATCCTAAAGACTTAGATCTAGCCTAGTCAAAGACCTCTCGAGCGCTGTTGTAGTGTTTGATTGTCTTTTAAAGGTACGCACCTATCGCCACCAAGAATACATGGTAGGGTCTAATTATCTTCTATTTTATTTTCTTAATAACATCACATGGACAATATGCCTAAGATTGTTGCATCATGTGCCTTGGCGTAACTCGCCCGACCCTAAAAAAAGGAGCCGACCCTACCTTTTTTTTTTTTTTTTTGCTATCGATATCTTTTTTTCGATAGTGATACTGATAGCGATCGCTATCGAAAAAAACCCGGAAAGTGTTTCGGCTGCGCATATTGCGCTTTTGAATGTTCAATTTTTCCACAAAATAAACTTTCACTAGGTTCTGCATGTGTTTGAATGTATCCATGTAAACGTATGGTTGTATGTAATAGCGCCTGCATGAATAGTGGTGTGTGTGCAGGTTACGAACGCACACAAAAATAAATAAATAAACAAATAAATAAATAAATCCCGACCGACCGACCCTATTTTTCAGGGGCCTGTTACGCCAATACAACAATTTTTTTTTGGGGGGGGCCTAAGCAAGAAAACAGTGTCAAGGCATATTCTTTGAAGCCTGAACTTGTGATTGATCCCATACAAGTCACTTTGATACACTATGTCACAACAATTCATTTTTAACCTCATCAATGTCAATTACTTATGTAATTTATTTTATTCACTAATATTTGAAGAACATATCCTGAAAATTTAAACAGGTTTCTTTATAAAAAAGAAATTAGAGCCACTTTCTTGATTCAGCAGTTATGCCACTTTTCAGGAAATTTCCTGATTTCAGGAAATTTGTGTGAGATGCTTGTGTACAAAAGTATAGGTAAAAGGTCACTTTCAAAAAAAAATTCTGGCTATTTCAGGAAATTTTATCTTCCATTTGTGGCATCTCTGATTCAGGTCCGTTTCGAGAATAAGGCATATGAAGTGTTGATCCCCATAGTGTAATAATTAGTGATTAATTGGCAATTAACAGCTAAATTAAAAAGTTTGCATCAAATATGGTGTCATTTGTTGGGGAATAATAATTGGGACAACATATTTAAAAAAAAAAAATCATTTTTTTGGCATTTTTCACCCTGAAATCGAATTTGGATGAACTTGTGACATGCGACCAAGCATGAATTTTAACTTCATGGCAGTGCATACCGCCACACATGTGTGGCTGTAATTAAAGACACAAGCGTGTGGCAATATCCAACCCACGTAGGGCTCGATACAGCCACACACTGCTCTTAACTGTATCAAATTGGACTTTGTGCATAAATGAATGAAGTGTTTTCATGTGGTACCGGTGGTGCCGGAAGGTGGTATACGTACGCGCGCACACTGCCAGTAGTAATACACCACAGAGGCACTACTACTGGCATTGTGCAGGCGTGCGTATACCGCGCCCCGGCTAGTAGTATAGTACAGTACCATAGAATTATGTATAGTAAGTGCTACCGGCGCAGCGAACACATGAAAATTATGCATTTCTCATGCCCAAGTACAAAATCGATAGAGGTAAGAGCAGCGTTTAATTGGCTGTATCTAGCCCTACGTGGGTTGGATACCGCCATACACGTGTGTTTTTAATTAAAGCCACACGCGTGTGGCGGTATTCATTTATTTTAAAAATATGACAATGGTATATATGCAATTTTTTTCTCGTATAGACTGTACAAATGGCAGCAGATGACTTAAATCTGGCTACAGAGGAGAAAGTGCAGATTCTTTTATACTTTATAGATCTTTACAAGGACAGTAGCATTTCGTACGAGGAACTCGTGGCAGTTGTTGTGGAGATTTTATTGCAATTGTGAAGCCTAAAGGTACAGTAAACTAGCTATAGAATGAAACTAATTTCTAAGTAAGAGACCATAAATTTGTGACTTGAATCTGTGACTTTTGAACTTTCTTCAGAATACCAATTGCCAAGATAAGACAAAATTTGTCTAGTATAAGATCCTTACACTAGCTGTTACACTTTAATACAGAACACTTCGCTAAGAGTGAAGACAATATTTAATTCCTGCACAGTAGTCTTTGGGTGATAAGTTCAGGTTTTTCATTTTTTTTAGCACTAAATGATAATATTTCCAACATTTTTTGAGGATATGTAATTTCCTGGTACTTCACGTAGCATACATCATGCAGCTCATTTTTGTTTTTACTGAATACATTGTTAACCAATGCCTTGAAGTTGAAGCCATTATGAATTAGACTCTTTTCCACAGAAATAGGATTTGCAATTCTAGTGCTTTCTGGTATACAGACTATTCACAGAGGCTATTAAATGTTTCATTTTAACCCAATTTGCAATAGGCAATTCCTGATATTTTTACAACACTTTTTGAATGCACATTTTATGTTTTTGTTAGAGTTCCAAATAAAAAATTGAGTTAACTCCTGGTTAAAGCTCATTGTACCAAAAGTTCAGTGTTTTGAAGGTTCGTTGTTCCAAAAATAAAGGTTCAATGTTCTGAAAATGAAATAAGGATCGATGTTCCAAAAATAAACAAATTCAAGGTTTGCTGTCCCAAAAATGAAATACTTAAGTGTACATGTGTGCTTTGAACTTTTAATTGAATGTATGAGTATTAAGAGCAAAACACACAGGCAAGCAAGTATAATTCTGAATATGATGAGACCTGTGTTAAATTGAATGTCTTGGTACAGAAAAAATACAAGTTGCTTTTAAATACAGTCATGTAGTGCGTGTCAGAAAAAGGTAACCAAGATTTATCTTGAATGATTTCTTGGATGTGGATAATTTTAGGGAAAATTCCAAGGCATCATTAATTAGATAATTGTCTCATGACACCAAGATGTCCTTCTTTTCCTCATGGATGACTACGCAAATGAATGAAAGTCAGAAATGGCTTTGCATAACTTTTGACTTTGACAGTTTTACCATTGATTGATTTCAGCTTGAATAATGCCAACAAAAATAAGATTATGCTTGACTGAATTCTTTCAATTCGGACAAAATATAAGGAATTCATACCAATTCAAAGTTACCTTACATAAGTTATAACAGTTCTTGAATAGTTTCATAAGTCAAGTGGCTAAACGTGCATGAAGCAAGTTGATATCATGGGAGCATCCCATGAGTCCGACAGCCTACGAGTCCGACAGCTCACGAATCCGACAGAAATGAATATAAGCCTACTACATCGACATTTTTCAAAAAGAGGTTCTAGCTAGACATTTTGACTTTTAGGCTCGCTAGATCGACACTGACAAATTATTTACTTTGAGACCGACACTACGCAAAAAGGGCCTACGAGACCGACTAACGTATTATAGTGCAATAGACCGACAAATTGGTAAAATATATTGCTAGTCAGACAGTTCAGAAAATAGGAATCTAGTCCGCCAACAATAGATGGCACTATTCAATTGTCGGAGTAATGCGCAAAATTTATAAATTATCGGACTAAAATACAATTTGAACTACTGTCGATCTAATCGGCTAAAAAGCAAACTGTCGGACTAATAGACCAATTTTACCTAGAGTCGGTCTCGTTTGTAAAATTTATGTTTGGTCGTGCTCATAGGCATTTTTATAATTTTGTCGGATAAATGAGCTGTCGGACTCAAGTCCGTTTTTATTTAATGTCTATCTCGTTCACCAATTATTAAAAATGTCGGCCTCGTGGGTTGTCGGACTCGTGGGCTGTCGGACTCGTCGGGAGTACCCGATATCACTGCCTCACAATTTCCCATTGACTCTGTACACACAAATGGTTAAGTTAAAGTTGCACTTTTATGCCTAAATAAAGTATTGTGTGAGACCATTCATGCTTGAATAGTTTAAAATTACAGTGGTGGGCAAAACATACTTGTATCCTAATCCTGGTCGTACACAGATTTTGATAAAATGTATAATTTTTTCAACAGACTCTATTGGAAAATATGGAGCAATGACATCATCAACAAAGTCAATGCAAATTAAAATGTTTTGTGTGTTTTAGGGGGAAATTTTGCTGCTGAACACTTTTCAGCCATAATTATCCTAAAATGAACTGAGCTCAGCCACTGAAAGCTAAAATAAACTAAATACATCTATTTATGAAAATTCTCCTCAAATTCAATTTCTATTACCTCTTAATTGAATTCGCATTTAGTTTTCAGGTCGACAACATTTTTTGAAGGGTTAAGTCTTAAATATAATTGGAGGGGGCATGTTGATTTTGGTCTCATAAATTGCCATAGACATCAAACGAAGCAGTCCATAGATACATTGTTGAAAAAATTATGTGTGTCGGACTTATGCAAAACAACGTGGGGGGGGGGGCATAATGCCTCTCCTCTGGCTCTACTGTGTTTCAACTCAAATCTTGTTTTTAGGACAATATATTAGGGGTTTATTATTAAAGGTATTTAGACAGTGTAATTGGATTTGTCACAATTGAAAACATAATAAGCCATTAAAATGCCAATTGCCCTTCAAAAAAGAGAATAGAAGATACAATTTTTGTTCACATTTTTGAAAAATGAGGACTCAGCATTTTTGGCCACGCCTCCTTAAATTTGATTTTTGGGCGGCACTGTCTGGATATTCTTCCAATTTGGTGTCATATCGATCAGGAGATCAAGCTGCATCAACAAGCTGAGATATGTCCCATCTGTTTCTGAAAAATACTTATTCCCCTGTAGCCCACTTCTAATAGTAAACATCCTACTAAATGCCCCTCAGTAAATAGTGCTATATCCTGCCAACGCGGAATCCATAATTTCCACTTTACTCTACTACTCCATGATAAAGTTGATTTATATCTTATCCCCCTCCGCTCTCCCCTTCCACCACAAATACAATTCTTTTTCCATCTTTTTTTAAAATGTACTATGCAAAGACTGATGCTGTTTCAATCACCAGTTTAAAGATATTCAGTCCAAAGTTTACCTAATTTTTTGTGTTCTCGCTGTTAACATCCCCAATGAAAATATCTAGTTCCTCATCTTTAAATACATTAAACAGAAGTGCAGCATTTTCCTCTCACAATTTTTCCTTGGGGGGCTGCCATTTTGATTACAATTCATGTCCGCGTGAAAATATCGGCCAGCACACAAACACAGCTAGCCGGCCGGCCGACCACAGGGGAGGGGTGCCAGTACGATCAAGATGCCTGGCACAACTGGGGAATCTCTGGCTAGCTTGCCACATCTCCGCTGCCTGCTGACAGTTGCAAATTGTGCATCCGATACCGATAGCATCATAGCTCTATATCCTAAACGATTTCTATACCATGAGGCTATAATATAATAATTTTGATAATAATGATAATAGAGCGCCAACTCCTCTCTGTAGATATGGCAGATAAAAATCATTGCGATGATGAAATGCTCATTTCACGCTGTTCATTGGACTGTTGTTTACATATGACGTCATAGATATAACTTCAAACGGCAAGATCCTAGAGGCTAGACTAAAATTGCTAAATTGCTCAACAAAAATATTAACTAGGTCAAAGGACATCATGGATGTAGTGATCTCATAACTCGATGCCACACTATCATGACTTGACCTCTAGATCTACCAAAGGCACTCCACAAATGCCTAGCCTTAGATAATAGTAAAAGTAATTAACAATAACTGTAACAACTAAAGTTAGGACCTCGGGCTAGGTCAAGGTGTCCAGTTAAAAAGGGACTCTGGGAGCATTTGAATAGGATACATGGCCAAGGTCTCCTTTTGCTCTACATGTAAGTCTACATGTATTATTGAAAGATGAACAGTATGTAGGCCTATTATCAGTTTGCAGATTTTGACTTCCAAATTAATTTGGATCAAGTTAGTCTATTCTGTATTCATTGGATATCAATGAGTAAGCGTCGCATTAAATGTCACATTAAATAACTGTTACATCACATCTGTTTTGTTTTGAACAGTATGTCTTCCAGGAGAAAAAGATTTTCTCCGGCAGCCGAAGCAGAGCATTTCTGTAGCCTGGGGAAGGACAAGAGTGGATTTCAAAAACAATATATAAATGATGTGATCGGTAAGAATAACCTTTCTTTGAGTTTAAATAAGTGCTGCCAAGAACTGTAAATTTAGAATGAAATATGGAATAATTTTTACAAGTGTGTGTAGTATTATTACGTATGTTACAGATACAGTTACAGTTCTATCTGCTTCTAGTAAAGTCTGTGTTTCAAAAGGGAGACAGTGGATCAGGACATTTTGGGGAATTTGTATCTTTTAGTGGGTGAGGGCTATTTGTCTTTATTATGGGTGTGGATCACTAAATTTTCTGATAATTGCTGCCTATATCATTGACTTTGAATAAACTTGGAAAAGTTTTATTCAATGTACCTTTCCCATCGGGCTCCTCAGGACAGTTTCCAGACCAAAAGATCTGCCATCTGATTCTTTTGGCCGAGAACCAGAATTGTCTCTCACAGTCACAGCTTTCCTTTCTTGCGGGGACCATGGATCAGTATACACAAAGTAGGATTCTCATCTTTGGTAATAATCACCTGATAACAGTGCAGAACTGTGAATGGATTCCATCAGCATTGGATTTGGTTAAGTTTGACTGGATGGAAATGATAAGCTCTAATTGGTTCGTGTCTTTTGGTTTGGTCAGTGTTTCATTTTGGCTAAAGTGAAGACACAACAAAAAATGTGTTTTAATGATCAGAAAAAGAAAAAAAAAACTGGTTAATGGTACAAGGCACGTGCTGGCAAAAGAGTAATACTTTTTCTAGCATCTAATGTTACTGCATGATTTTGTAGCAAAACACCAGCTGTTTGGCAACAGTGACCCCTCACGTACCTTTAGTAAATTTGTACGTCATTTTGTTGAAAGACAAAAAAATTGATAAAATACTTTTTGAGTTGCGGTACAATTATGATTTCTGATTTTTCCTTTAACCTTCAAAATCACAAACATTTGTATTTTCCAGGATATGGTCTTTTTACATCAATGACTTTCGAGAAGGGGAGCTTTCTCCTTGAATATAGAGGCGAGCGGTCTTTAGTTTCTGATGATGAGGAGATGACCAGTGAAGACTCGTATGTTTTTCACTTTAAACACTGTGGTGTAAAGTACAGGTAGGCAAACCGAAGTTCAATTCTATTCTTTGGTCCCAAGGCTCTCCCTCTGGTCAACTAGCGAACTCTAAAATTTCTTGAAAGTGCTTGCTAATATTCTGAAATTTTACATCATTTATTTTTTTCAGGGATTTTGTTATCAACTTATAAATAGTTTTCAAAAAAGCTAAAATGCTGTAACAGGAGATATTTTGGTCCCTTCATTATTCAAAGGTCTGATAAATTTGAATGTCATCTTTGTGTGGTGCACATTATGCACATAAACTTTAAGGAACATCTGCACATGTAATTTACAGCATTGTTGACATGTACAATGTACATGCATTTTATGGTCCCATTGTGCTCTCTTGTGAAAATATTTTTTTCTACATTTATATTGTACATAGTTTTTTTTTTTTTTGGGGGGGGGGGGTCTATTGCAGCCATTCTGAATTTAAAAAAATTACTGCAAATGACATTAATGATACAATCTTTAAAAAAAAATCTTGTTTTCAGACACTAATTCACTCACACGTGTACATCATAATTACATGCACTTTGTGGTCAGACAGTGCTAGTTCTTTCATATTATATAGTAAATTAGTATATTAGTTAGGGGCTTATGTTGGCATTTTGAATTTCAAAATGCAGCATTCTATCGTATAAGAAATTCAAGGTTTAGCTAAAAAAATCATGTTTTCAGACAGTTTCATTCATCCATCACAATTACAGGCATTTTATGATCAGTGTGTGTGTAATTTTGTGATTTGTATGGCTAATTTGCATATTTTGGCGGCTATCTAGGATTTTGTCAATTTGCAAAAAATGTTGGTTTTTTGAGTGGCATCATTTAGATTTGGAATCAGCATCCTCAACTTAACGAACCATCAAAAAACATTGACTTACATGTATTATTTCATTCCTACGTGGACAATTCGCGTAAGTGGACATAATTCCAAGGACACTTTTTAGCAGAAAGCCACTGCTATGTTTACTGACAAGGGTTTCTTGGTGATGGTGATGACGATTTTGATGATGATGGTGATGGTGGTCGACGTTTACGATGATTATGGTGATGGTGGTGATGATGATGGTGATGACGATTCCGATGATGCAATACACACCCCTTCTTTACGAACCTACAACAGAGGACTCCTGTATTTATATGCTATTTCGCCGTGGACATTAGGGCTGGCAATACACACCTCTTCTTTAAAGGGGAAGTCTATGCGATAATTTAATTTAAAATTGAAATAGAGCAAAAATCAAGCTTTCAGAAAATGTCTTACTTGACTCTGTAGACCCATGAATAACCGAGTAATCACTGGAAAAGCGATATAAGCAAAAGTGCTCGCACGAGCCAGTTTTACCCGAAATGCATTTCGCTACACTGTCCGCATGACGTCAGTGTCGCACTTTTGTTGAGCAAGCAGTCAGAAATCCCACGGCTTGAGGTTCAAACACCAATATTTCTACATTTTTACATCAAAATTGTCAGCTCAAATATCTAGAATCTATTGAGCATATATCGCCCTATGTGTCAAGGGCTTCAGAATTGGAAAAGTGGTCATTTTCCCCAAGAACTGATAAAATTTGTGCAGCTATACACTTGACACATCGATATCTTGCATCCAGTCAATGGAGAAAGTTCGCACATGCGCAGTTATAGTGCCACAATGACGTCACACGGCCATCGCACTTCGGCAATGCGAGAACTATTTTAGAAATAATTACCATCACAAAATTGGAGCTTAAAAATCACAAAAGTAACGCCCGTGGATGAAAGTGGTATCAAAATGCTCCTTAATTTTCAAGCCATAAAATAGATTTTATTGGAAATCGTCTAGACTTCCCCTTTAAAGGGATCGTTTAACAATGATAAATCTGAGATACACGGCCCTACGTGTTATCAGTGTCTGTGATATGGTGTAATATTGAAGCCCTAAAAAAATCGCGCTTCAAAATGATCAAGAAGTGCCTCAAAAAAGTAAAAATCTGTGAGTGACCGGTTTTACCATACTCGTTTCCCCCAATAGACTGTAGTGTTATGAAAACCGTCCGGCGAACGGTTTTGAAAATTTGTAATTTCAATCATAAATATCTTGATAATCAGACAGGCGATCGGCTTGTAAAAGTCATGGAGTTCCTGACTGACATAAAGGTTTATAATTATCATAGCAGCATGAGCTAATCCCGGATTTTGTTTCAGAATCTGAGACAAAGTTACCGGATCCCTTTAATACAAACCTGCAACAATGGACCTCTGTATTTGGGCAGGTCCAAGCTAATCCGCACATTAGGTATGTAACATTTCAGAGATTTCGGACTATAAAAAGACAATGAGAACAAATTGTGATTTAAGAGACAATCATGTCTATCATTGTACCTATGGGGAGAACATTTGTGCAAAGTTTCGCGACTCTCGGTCTTTTGGTTAGTGAGTTAGGTGGAAATTTAGGTGTGTTACGTATGGGACGCAGAGAAAATGAGATTTTTTAAAATAAAAGTTTGAGCTTAAATCTCTGTGAAAGTATTTTAGTTATCATTCTGAAACTTACTGTGCATAAAGGTAAACTACATGTACTCAATATTTTAAATCTGAAGTTTCAGCCAATTCCATTGAATAGTTTCTTCATAGTGATTGATTAATCTCACAAAAGTTATGTTACGTATGGGATGTTTCGTATGGGACACTTTTGGACGCATGCATTTTCAATAGGAAAATCTGGAAAAAAAAAAAAATCAATTTTCTGTGAAAATGTAAGGTTGCCTTCACACTTATATCAGGTTTTTGGTACCATTTGGTGATAATTAACATACAGAGCTTATCCAGGCAGAAAGAAAATGAAATCCCACCTTTTTTCATCTGCTGCTGTATATTTTTTTTTTTCTGCCATTGACTTTGTACACACATTGCCCAGAAATTACTGTTGATATGTGATATTTTTGGAATATTATTTTTCAAATTCAATTTTGTTTGTTTATTTCTATTTTTCTATAAATATCTTGTAAAAAAAAATTACCACAAAAAGAGATCAAATAAAAATTAATTGCAAGTATTATAGCACACTATAATTCGTAATTTCGGAAGAATCATAACATTTGTAAAAAATATATTTTTTTGTAAATAACCGTATGTTAAATAACTAATAATATAATGATATTATCATCCAAAGGTATTTTTAAGACAGTAGATTATGATCAGATTGAAGTGCAGCTGTAAAATTTCCCAATAACAAGGTTTAAATTTTGTATTCTTAGCTATATGGCCATCGACTTTGTACACAAATTTCCCATACGTAACACTTTTTTGGAGTACCTCTCAAATCAAAGTGGAACGATTTATGAAAATTATAATGATGCATTCTTGTCACATTTGTGATAAATTAGAACTTTTCTAAGTTTGGTTAGAATAGATAATGAACTTTTTGAGAAAACTAAAAAACTTGACATCATAATGTTATGTATGGGACAAATCGGGAGAGGACGCAGCCTCATTGAAAAATAGACATGGTCATGATTTTTTTATTTGCCAAATTAATTGGGGGATAAAAGGAATCTGTTATGTGAGTGTCAGTTTCTAACTTTCATTCACTTATTTTATATGATTTTTTTAAATTGTCCCATACGTAATGCCTGAATTTCATTTCATGCAATTTGGGCCCGAATAAATTTGCATATTTACAATTTTTTTTTGATTCAGAAACTTCAACTCATGCTATTTGATGATGTGTATCACATTCCTTTCCTTTCAAAATAAAAATTTGGTGTTTGAGAGGACATTATCTTGGACCTGCCCATTTACAGACCGTCACCATGTCACCATGGACGTTAGCCATTAGGCCTGGCAATGTACACCTCTTCTTTCCAAACCTGCAACAGTGGACCTCTATTTACAGACTATACTGTAGCCTCTTGACGTGGCCCACTTCGGATTTGGGTGTGCGAAGCACACCCTTCGGGGTGCGGAGCACCCCCGGAGCAGCCGCAGGCTCTGAAGGGGCCTCTTAACTAATGATTCGCGCCATTTCTGCTGTCATTTTTTTTTCAAGTAATAAGTTACTAGGTAAACCCTATTTTCACAGAAATTTTTTTTCGGTGATATTCAAGCCAATGAGAGCGTTATAACCCGATCACATGACATCAATTTTAATATTCATAAGTCCTTCGTTAATGATATGCACGATTCACAAATCCGAAAATGGCGTCCGCCGTCTCAGTCTCAGAAGGTATCAAGTATACCTCAACTTTCTTGAAAATCGAAAGATTTAAGAATCCACAAGTAAAAGCGAGTAAAAGCATTCAAATATGCCTTGTAAGGTTGTGATGTTTTTGTGAATCTGCCCACAGGATTCGGAAAAAGTGTCATATTTCATGCATTACCGCTGTGCACAGATTATCTTCGTCACGCTGCCTAGGCTCCGAAACAGCTGAGTGCAAGCGCAGCTAATCAACCAATGTTTGTTTCAAGAACAGACGTTTTATACTGAATTCATTGATCGGGTAGTAGAAAAGTATGCAACTAAGAACAGATATATGAGGGAGGCGAATTATATTTAGACTAATCAACAAATGGCTCTACGAAGAATTTCATTTGACAACATCGAGTGCTTTATAAATATATATGAGTATGTGTTTTATTCATTATACGATGAATAATTCATAACCGACAACAGAAATGGCGCGAATCACTAGTTAAAAGGCCCTTGAGGTGCTTCGCACCCGGGGTGCTCCGCACCCCAAAGGGTGTGCTTCGCACACTCAAAACCGTAGTGGGCCACGTCAAGAGGCAACAGACTATGTCACCGTGGACGTTAGACCTGGCAGTACACATCTCTTCTTTCCAAACCTTCAACAGTGGACCTCTATTTACAGACCATGTCACCGTGACCGTTAGACCTGGCAATACACACCTCTTCTTTACAAACCTGCAACAGTGGACTTCTATTAAACAGACTATGTCACCGTGGACGTTATACCTGGCAATACACACCTCCTCTTTCCAAAATTGCAACAGTGGA